AGATGTGATCTCAGAACCACTGGCAGTCATCTTTGAGAATTCCTGGAGAACAGGCAAAGTCCCGGCAGACTGGAGGAGGGCAAATGTTGTCCCTATTTTCAAATGGGGAAAAGAGAGGACCCAAATAATTACCGCCCAGTCAGTCTGACATCAATACCAGGGAAGATTCTGGAGCAGATCATTAAGCAAACAGTCTGTGAGCACCTAGAAAGGAATGCTGTGATCACCAATAGTCAGCATGGATTTCTGAAAAATAAGTCATGTCAGACTAACCTGATCTCGTTTTTGACAGAATTACAAGCCTGGTAGATGAAGGGAACGCAGTGGATGTAGCCTACCTTGATTTCAGCAAGGCATTTGACAAGGTGCCCCATGATATTCTTGTAAAGAAGCTGGTAAAATGCGGTCTTGACTATGCTACCACTCAGTGGATTTGTAACTGGCTGACTGATCAAACCCAAAGGGTGCTCATCAATGGTTCCTCTTCATCCTGGAGAAGAGTGACTAGTGGGGGGCCACAGGGTTCTGTCTTGGGCCCGGTCTTATTCAACATCTTTATCAACGACTTGGATGATGGACTCAAGGGCATCCTGATCAAATTTGCAGATGACACCAAACTGGGAGGAGTGGCTAACACCCCAGAGGACAGGATCACACTTCAAAATGACCTTGACAGATTAGAGAACTGGGCCAAAACAAACAAGATGAATTTTAACAGGGAGAAATGTAAAGTATTGCACTTGGGCAAAAAAAATGAGAGGCACAAATACAAGATGGGTGACACCTGGCTTGAGAGCAGTACATGTGAAAAGGATCTAGGAGTCTTGGTTGACCACAAACTTGACATGAGCCAACAGTGTGACACGGCAGCTAAAAAAGCCAATGCAATTCTGGGCTGCATCAATAGGAGTATAGCATCTAGATCAAGGGAAGTAATAGTGCCACTGTATTCTGCTCTGGTCAGACCTCACCTGGAGTACTGTGTCCAGTTCTGGGCACCACGGTTCAAGAAGGACACTGACAAACTGGAACGTGTCCAGAGGAGGGCAACCAAAATGGTCAAAGGCCTGGAAACAATGCCTTATGAGGAACGGCTAAGGGAGCTGGGCATGTTTAGCCTGGAGAAGAGGAGGTTAAGGGGTGATATGATAGCCATGTTCAAATATATCAAAGGATGTCACATAGAGGAGGGAGAAAGGCTGTTTTCTGCTGCTCCAGAGAAGCGGACACGGAGCAATGGATCCAAACTACAAGAAAGAAGATTCCACCTAAACATTAGGAAGAACTTCCTGACAGTAAGAGCTGTTTGACAGTGGAATTTGCTGCCAGGGAGTGTGGTGGAGTCTCCTTCTTTGGAGGTCTTTAAGCAGAGGCTTGACAACCATATGTCAGGAGTGCTCTGATGGTGTTTCCTGCTTGGCAGGGGGTTGGACTCGATGGCCCTTGTGGTCTCTTTCAACTCTATGATTCTATGATTCTAACCCCCTGCAGTGCAGGAATCTCAGTTAAAGCATCCATTGTGCTTGCCCACTTTTGTCTCTTTGTCTGGTAAGCAGGCAGGTGGCAGCCATGAGGTGGAGGAGGAGATAATGGCAGAGAGCTGGTAGTAGGTTTGCCGGGTCACGACTATCCCAGACCCTGAGATTTCAGCATCCAAACCTGAGACAGAGTGGTAGGCCCCAGTGATTCTTCCTCTGTGCTCCCTCCCATCACTGAGCCCTGGAGATGGATGTTAATTGGGAGATGGGAGGAGGAAACAGAGGAGGGGGGAAGCCTCTCCAGTTGTACATGCAACAATTTGCAGCCAGCTCCTGCCAGGCTGAAGCCTGCAGCTGCACACAGTCATCTTCTCCTCCTCCTCCTCTTCTTAAAGGCACTCTCGCCCACCTAGAGATTCAAGCCCTTCCGCTGCCACCTGAAGGGGTCCAGGCAAACCTGGAGACTTCCAGTCAGGCCTGGAGGTCTGGCAACCCTAGCTGGGATGCCCTCATATAGGGGGTCTTGCCTTGGGCCTTCTCAAACCCCGAGGTGGCAAAACTAAAGCTTAGCCACATGCTTGCTGTTCTATAACTATATAACATGGTGAATAGGCTGTGGAATGAGGAATAGGGGAAGGGCAGAATTTGCAGCCCACAAATATTTGCACACTTCCATGGCCCCCCCACCTCCCGAGTCTATTTTTGTGCCTCACTTATCTATGTCCCTCCTGGGTGGGCTACAGTAGTCTTCCTGCTCCATTTCTTCCATTTCTTCATGGTGTATTTATTGACTAACTCCTTTACCTCACTCCCTGCCCATGGTTTGCCATTCCTCTGTATGCACACATTCACTGAACTTCCTCTGCTTATAAATCTTGCCCCACCTCAGCTTAAGATCACCCCTTCACCTGAATTGCAGTCAGACACACGGAGAGAGAGGCTCCCAGCACATTAGAGATGCAAGCCTTTTTGCCTCCTAATGTGGATCTCTGCAGGCAACTGTGCAAGTTGAATACAAATTGAGGTGGGGAAGGCTGAATTAAGAGGAAGAGAAACAAGTGTGTTGCTTGGGGACAGATAGAAGGAAGGAGTCGGAGGAGGACGCGCCAAATTTAGGCAAGGCAGCCTGATGGAGGAGCACTGCAAGCCCTGTGGCAGGACTGAAGAACAGCTGCGTCATTCTAATGTTGGAACATGTGGACATCCAAGGAAGCTGAAGGGCAGAGAAAAGAAAGCACTTTTTCAAGCAGCACATTTAAAAAACTAAAACTAATTTTTATTGGTTTTTAAACAAATACAAATATAAGAACCATTAAACACTTATCCAGCAGTACATCTAATGGTGTTTATTCTATCTATTGACTCTAGACATAAACTTACACATTCAGTGTTCAAACATATTACTTAATGTAACCTTTCCACAGAGAATATTGAATGGTTGGTTTAACAAGGTCATGATTTTTGTCATTAACATAGTTAACAAAAGGGATCCACGTTTCCTGGAAGGTATCTCTATTTGTTACGCTTTTAATTGCCCTCCTGTGTCTGGTGTTTCCTGCTTGGCAGGGGGTTGGACTCGATGGCCCTTGTGCTCTCTTCCAACTCTATGATTCTATGATTCTAAGATGCTCAGATATTGCTGTATCCCAGAAATTATTTTCCCATATGTTATGGGGTATTTCAGTCTGGTTCTTCCACTGTTGAGCTATTGCTAATTGTAGGGATGTGGTTGGCACTGTGATCTAAACCACTGAGCCTCTTGGGGTTGCTGATCAGATGATTGGCAGTTCGAATCCATGCAAGAGGGCGAGCACCCCTTGCTCTTTCCCAGCTCCTGCCGATCTAGCAGTTCGAAAGCATGCCAGTGCAAGTAGAGAAATAGGTACTGCTGTGGCAGGAAGGTAAATGGTGTTTCTGTGCACCCTGGTACTCAGATGTCCTGTGCGGCAGAAGCAGTTTAGTCATGCTGGCCAGTGACCCGGAAAGCTGTCTGTGCACAAACCAGCTTGGAGCAGAAGGGCTTCCAGGTGCAGCATTCCACCTTCAGTTTGCCATTGTCCTCAGAAACCCTCTTCTCTCTGTAAACAGACTCACCAAGGCTCCATGTTATGTGTGACCAGTGCATCTTCCTTTCCCTGGCAGATGAAGACACCGTCATGTCTGTGGGGCTCTACTATAGCCTTTCCCCCCTCTTTTGAAGCCCCCTCCTCCTTGGCCTCGGAAGCCTCCTGTCATGAATGAGCCAGCCCAGCCAGCTTCCAGTGAAGGAAGTAGTCAGGAAGAGATAGGATTAACTACCAGAAAAGAGGAGCCTAGCCCAGAGCCAACTTCTCCGCCGAGCAGGAAGAAGTTGGAGGGGATCCAATGAGCCCATGGAGTTGCTGCTGGGGGAGGGTGTATGATAGGAGGTGGAAGGGTGTATGATAGGAGAAAAGGCAGTCTACAACAGAAATTTGAATGTTGTTTTCCCTGTCTGTCAGGTTATCTGATTGCCTTTCCTGGTAGTCTGCCCATTCCTTTGAGATGGTGATTACCCAATTCCTGAGACAATGGGAAGGTTCCCTCACCCCCTCCCTCCTTGCAGAGAAACACTTGGTCAGCTTGGGAGTCAAAATGGTTTTAGGACGGTGTTCCTGTGCTGCTCCAGACATGTGGTCCACATATCTATGTTCTGCGTCTCAGTTGCTTTGTGTCTGCAGTGAGGTTAATACCTAAGTACTTAAATCTTCCATGTGCTATGGCACATGGAGAGTTAACTAGTAACCAGTCTCTTGTAGTGTCATCTAAATTGATAGGAAGAAGCACAGATTTAGAATAGCTGATTTGCAATCCTGCTACCCTGTGATACATTTCCAACTGCTGCTTAGGTGGCTCGAGGACTGTTATTGGATTTTGTAAAAATAAGAGGATGTCATCTGCAAACATATTCACTTTGTGTACCTCATCCCGCACGGTGACCCCTGCTTTAAAAAAAAAATCCTAATCCTAATCAGCTTCACACACTCGTGATTTCCAACACCATCTTTCCAGACTAGCTGAAAAGATGTGATGTGTCTCTCAAAGCCTTCTACCTTGACACACATATTAAAATCTAACGAGTCCTTTGTGTGCCTCTGGTGTGTTTACAGAGCCTGTTGGATTTAACCTTGCAAGTTGTTTTCTTTATTTAAACGTTGTTTTAAAGGCCCTGTTCAGGGTATAGATCAGATAAGCTTGTTCTGAAGCAGCTCCAGATTACTGAAAAGGGTTCCTTACTGAAAATGAACTACCGACAGACTTGTGCTATTTCAGCCTCCCTCAAGCTTGGCAAGTACACAATGGAATTGGTTGCGGCATGCACCCCCTGGGTTCTTGTGTAATGAATACAACACAGGGACTCCCTTAGAAAAGTTTTGGGGTTTGCCACCTGTCCTGTATAATACAGGATTGTCCCATATTTCAATGTAAAATGCACCGTCCTGTACTCTAGATTCAGGTAGGTAGCCGTGTTGGTCTGACATAGTCAAAATAAATAAATAAAAATGTGCAGTAGCACCTTAGAGACCAACTAAGTTTGTTCTGGGTATAAGCTTTCATGTGCATGCACAAACTTAGTTGGTCTCTAAGGTGCTACTGGACAATTTTTTTTATTTATTCCGTCCTGTATGGATACATTTTTGTTCTCTAGTGAAGGAGAGTCCCCCACCTTCAGAGGGAGTCTGTTCCACTGCCCAATGACTGTTGCCCTCAGAAAATTCTTCCCAGGGTTTAGTCAGAATCACCTTTCTTGCCATTGGAATCCATTGATTTGGGTCCTACCCTCTGTAGCCAAATAATGTTGGAAAATTCAGGAGACAAAACGAAGGACTTTGACACATAGCACAAATTGTGGCATTCACTCCCATAAGACAACGGTTGTTGTTGTTGTTGTTGTTGTTGTTGTTGTTGTTGTTGTTATTCACTCTTCACTGTAAGGTCCCAGGGCAGGTAACAACACAAAGCCCAATATTAACAGCAGTTTGAAATAATCTCAGAAATAAGGTGGGTCTTGAAAACACACGTCTTGAGAGGGTTGAGGGAAAGAGGTGCACTTTCAGCATTCCCTGTACAATGAGACTTCCAGATGTAACTTTCTAGGAAAGGATTTCCCAAGCTTGGGGGCCACCACAGAGAAGGCCCTCTTATTCCCTTGAGCCCCCAAGCTTCTGAGGGTGGTGGAACTACCAAGAAGGCCTCCTCTGCCAATCTCAGAAAGTTTGCCAGGAGGCAGGTGGTTTCTTAAAGGGATGTAGCAATTGTCACAGCAAATAAGGCTCCCAGCAGCTCCCTGCCACAAGTTCCTGTCCTGCTTGGGAGCTTCCCGTCAGCTGCTGGGCTAGCTGTGCCTTGGACCCAGCAGGACTTCTTAAGGGTTACAGGGAGAGATTGAGGGCTGTCGCTTTCATGCCCTGCCGGTGGGCTTGTGGGGGGTCTCCGGCTGGGGAAGGCTAGCGAGGTAGGAGGCAACCAGCCTGGGGGAAGGGAATGCTAAGCAAGCTGGGCCTGTGGGCTGGGCTCGTGGCCTGGGGGGCCTAGGGAGATGGGGGAGTCCTTCTTGGCTGCCTCACCTCAGGCAGCAAAACGCCGAGGCCCCTGCTTGGATCCTCATGGAGTTGAGGTGGGGGGTGGCAAATGGGGGAGCCACTCTTTCTGGCTTCAATATGAACCAACTTCATCCCACAGAGTCAACCAACAAGAGTGTCTTTAGGAAATTAAGGGGTTTGAATGGATCTCATTATGGGCTCGTGGTGCTACATTTTTCATTTCATGCCTTGTTGAAGAGGCGGCTCATTCCAGTGCTTTCTAGCAAAGGATCTAATGAGAAATTAGTCATATTATTTTTAATGGCAACAACCATTTTAAATAACAATCTTGGGAAGCGTTTTTACCTCCACTGAGTGGGTAGGTGGGGGGAACACACTGCTTTTCAGAAATAAATTTTAATCCCCCTTCCTTTCTCATAAATTAGTTCATTAAAGGATTTTGAAAATGACTTTAATGCACATAGCAAACAAACCTCGCAGGCTGAGGTAAGGAAAGGGGGAGAAAAAGTTTCTTTCTTTATTGTGTTATTCTATCTCCTTCCAACACTTTGGTGCACTTCAGTGCTGCACAATTAGTGTTAATGCACTCAGAGTGAATGGCAGTAGGTACAGAAACAGTGGTTGTGTTGGGATGCAACTCGGTTTGCCCTGTAGCTTGATGTGTCTGCATGGATGGGTATAGCTAGAGAGAGGAACTGCTGCTGACCTCATTTCCTCGCCTTCCTCCTCCTTGCTCACCTTGGGAGAGAAGACATATTTGCCCCCCCCCAATGTTCGATCAATTTTATTTAAAAAATTCAGCATAAAATTTAATAAAAGCAAACCTAATCTAAATTTAAAAAGAGCAAAACTAAAAAGAAAAGAGAAAATAGAAAGGAAGAAAAGTGAAAGAAAATACAAAGCCCTCTATCAAAATTGTATCTTAACCCTTGTTCCACACAAAGGAGGGTGAACCCTCCCAGCCCTCCCCTGGGAACTTCCCCCTCTTCCCCCAACCTCCCACCCTAAGAGATCCAGGAAAGGAGATGCCTTTCTGTGTCTCTCCTGCTGAGAATAAAGAGCAGGCCTAGGCTCTACCGTGGCTGGACTGTAATAAGATCTTTCCTATCAAGCATGTACGGTATTTCCTTTAACAAACTTAGCTTTATTGTTTTCCAAGCTCAGAGTCTTGGTGTAATTACATCCTGGGTACAGTGTGCTCCTCCACCAGTGCCCTATTTATTTATTTCAATATTTTTACACCACTGTGTCTATATGGGGGAAAGGGGTTATAGCAATAAAAACATGACACCAGTTAACCATTGTGGAAGGCTGTGCTCTTAATTTCCTGTGTAGGCCTGGGGGAATAGAAAGGTTTTCAGCAGACATTTAAAAGTTGGCATAGAAGGTGCACACTGAATCTCCAGTGGGAAAGAGTTCCACAGGATTGGGCCGATGACACTTCAGGCTCAGTTTCTGATAGTTGTCGAGTGAGCCTCACCAACTCAGGGAACAACCAGCAATGCTCCTGCGGCTGATCTTAGTGATCAAGCTGGGATGCATGCAAGGGTTCAGGTGATCCCTGAGGTACCTGGGACCTAGGTTGTTCAGGGCTTTGTAAATTAATACCGGAACCCTGGACCTGGCTCATGAGTAACCTGACTTGGCTAAGCTTCCAAGTTGCATGTTAACTCCAAATATTGAGGTGATTATTTAATGCAGCCTTTGCAAACCTGGTGCCCTACAGATACTTTGGATAGCCCCAACATGACCACGCTCACCTCAAAAGCAAGGCGTCCCTGCAGACTGTCAGACAGAAGATGGAGCAGACTTCTTGGTCACTCCAGAGAGCAGGACTAGGACAACTTGGCAGAAATGGCGGCAAAGCAATTCTGATGAAAGATTCAGAGAAACATCCTAAGGGTAAGGACTGTTTGGCTGCGGAACAGACTGCCTCAGGACCAGAGGGAGTGAAGGACTCCCCTCTGCTGGATTTGCTGGAGAAATGTAGTCTGGCTCTGTCCTTGCAAGATTCCTCCATGACAGACCCTGCACAGAGGTGGGAGGTGGACACAGAATCAAGGTTTCTTTGCTCTCAGCACTGCACCTGCACTTCTGAGTTACTGTGGCGCATGATGTAAGGATGGCCCCCAACACAGATGGCTTTAAAATGTGATTAGGCCAATCTGAGGAGGAGGCTATCAGTTCCTATCAGTCATGATGACTCTGTATTGGGTGGTATCCAATGCTAATTTGACCCAGAGGCTGAGCCATTGAAATAAATGGACCAAAGGTGCCCATTCCTTTCAATGGGTCTGCTCTGAGGAAGACCAGGACTAGTGGCCTCAGCCTTTTGCTCGTGATGTTGGTGACAAGCTTTGCATCATTGGCTACTGTGAGAACAGAATTGTGGACTAGATAGGCCCCCTTTGGCCTGATCCAGCCATTGTACCCCAAGAGGAGGGAATCCGGTCCATCTGGAAAGTAGTAGGGAGGACTTTTTTGGCATGGGGTGAGGAGGTGGCTTCTCCCAACTCCCTCTAGCTTCCCCTCCTGCTAGACCCAGAGCTGCCATCTCCCATCATCAGTTTTGGTCAAATGCAGCAGGAGCTGCCTATTTCTTTGGCTGAGCCATTTACTGAAAGAAAACTAGTGAAAGGAGCCATTTATTTCCCTTAACAGCTTCTTGAATTCCTAGGAAATAGCTCAATTTCAGGGTAATGGGTTTCCAGAGCTCATTCCTCACAGTGCTCCTGAGTGGAGCAGAGCCATCTAGAAAATCCAAGAGGATCAACAGCAGCAAAAGACTGCCTCTCCATCCCTCACTGTGATGGGCTCCTTACCCATTACCCAGTCATTAGGAATGACACACACACCAGTGGGCATTTCTCTGTTCTTGCCACTGAAATTCTGCCTATCAGGTTGGAAATTGCACGGGCACCATGTTCTACACCACCACAGCTGATCTCAGGAATGCCTCTGAATGCCAGCTGTTGGAAACCTCAGGAGGAAAGATGTCTCTTGTGCCCAGGTCCTGCTTGTGGGATTCCTACAAGCATCTGGGTGACCGCTGTGAAAACAGGATGAGCCATTGGCCTAATTCAGGCAATTTTTTTCAAAGAAGAAGAGTTCACATAAGCATCTGGACACATTTTGTGTATATAGACATTTCAGTTTTCCTTAATGCAATTCATTTCTGTGCATTATTTTCACCAGAACACTTTCCTCTTACACAGGCATATTTGTCTGCATCCTTTGGATCGACAAGGCATTTGGGCGGTTTGGAGACCCACAACAGAAACAGGCATTTCTGTTTACCTATTTATTCGGGAAGTACAAATTTGTCAAATGAATTTATCCCCTACCTCAAATTGTGGGTATGCTAGAATGAGCAGGATTAGCAATTGCAAAGCTCCTAGTCACTTCTGCTGGCCACAGAAATGTCTCCATTTTTGCAAATTTCAGAGAGATAATGTATCCCCCTTCCACCAGATTTTGGCAATTCTCTGCATGTTCGTTAATGCACCACAAATCCTTTAGCTTACTGCCTTGCAGGGAATCTGCCAATTCCATCAGCATTTCCTGCCTTCCTGATTATCACTCCCATCCTTGCCTGGTGTTTATGTAATTAATTGCAACAAGATTATGATTTAGTTCTTAAGACTAATGAGATAAAGCCACTTTTATCAAAGAAATGGCAACCTCTTCCTTCTGTTTCCAGCGGGGAGAGCTTGAGCACCTGCAGCTTTGGAAAAGGTCCAGACCACACAGACGCTGAGGTTTTCATACTCAGCCAGGAAATGCGTCTACTGCCTGCCAGTGACACCAACACCCAGCAAGATCTGATGCTCGAGTCCCCTACATCCTGGGTACTCAACAATTCCTTGCTGCTTTCTCAGGGCAACACCAAATGTTCTCTGGCCATCAATTATTTTACAGTGAGAATAAATTCTATTCAAAACATCAAACAAAAAAGCACCAATCAATGAACTGACACAATGTATGGATTTCACAGGTTTCCAACGTGGGTTTCAATAACTTATTACATTCAGGAAACTTCCCAAATCCATTGATTGCTGGCCAAGGATGGCAAGGAGAAACCAAAGGTGGTTCTGGCACAGACACTCTACTTACTCCAGCCGGTGACCACCAGCCCAAATGGTCCTCGCCCTTGCCATAACACAGCTCTGAAGGCGAGTTAGAAGAGAAGGAGCAGCAGCATCTGCTTGGTTCTTGTTTGAGGGCCTGACAAGAGACTGACATTTATTTAATGTCATCTCCTTACCATAAAATCCATTTGGCCAAAGTGTATGTGTGTGGGGGGGGGGGACAGGACAGTGAAATTTCTCCACAAGCTCCAGAGGATGGGGTGTTTTACTGGGGGTGGGGGGGTGTGCCATGCCTCACCAAAACTGATCATCACTACCCAGCAAACCCTGCAATGTATGTTTTATCCTTTCTTAAAGTTTAATCACCAAGTCTGCAGCAATGAAAGTACATTTGCCTTTCAGTGTGCTGTCCTGAGTTTAGGCCTAGAGAGCATTAACTAATTTGATTAAACAATTCAACTGATTTACTTAAGAAATTAAGAGCCTGCAGCCCAATATCTGGTGGAGTTGATATTTTAAAAAAGAAATCAAGGGGGGGGGGTGGAGAAAGATGCTTGTTCCCACCAAACCGGAGCACAGACAGCTCAAAGCCACAAGGTGGGGAGTGTCATTTTGAAGGCAGCCTTTTCCTGCCTTGCATGCTCATTCATCTCCCCCCTGTTCTGCCTCCTTTCAAAGATAAAGGAACGTGATAAGGTGAAGGAGGCACAGGAGTCTGAAAGGGTTCAAAAGGAAAGTTTCTTTATTTGCGCACATTCAAGTTACCTTGTTTTTTCCATTTTAACCAGCTCAGAAATTATTTCATCAAGTGGGTTCCTGCAGTCGCTTTCCCTTGAGAGCATTGCTCGGTTAGGGGGATTCCACTTGGATGCACCCCCTGGCAACATTAGTGTGGGCTTTCTGACGTGGTGCGTAGGTTGGTGCAGGCACCCAGCATGGAGATTGCTCTTGGAACCCAGGAGCCCATTCAGAACTGCAAAAATGCCAGCAGCCCCATCACCCACGCACACTTCCCCGACCTTCCAGAGTTTCCTTAGCGCTGAAAGAGAGCTATGGCAGCAAGGCAGCAGAATGCCACTTTTCTCATCAGCCTGCCATTGTCACTGCTGCTCTTTATTATTGGCTTCCTCTCTGTACTGAGGGCAGGGCAGCTAAGAGGGGCACTGGGCTATCTTCCCACCCACTGTGCTCCACAGAGGTGACTTCTAAAGCCTCTTTTATGGAAAACAATTTGCCATAGCAGCTCAAGCAAAAGCATTAAAACTGTAGAGGAAGAGCACAAACAACCATTTAGCCATTCTGGTCTGATGGCACGAACATGGGAAGAGTGCTAAACCCACTCTGGCCAAATCTCACTCAATTTAAGATTTTCTGTGAAAGCAAGTGGGCTTCTTTGCTTTGGGTTGAGGTGAAACGAGAGGCTTGAAATGCAGGAGGGGATTTGTCGTATCTGTGGATTGGTGTGTGCATGTGGTGGTTCTGTATTTGCTTTTTGAAGGTGGCACTTCTCCTCAACCCCAAGTGAAACCACAGGTTAAGGGGCTTTTTTTAAGACAGCGAATAAATTACCCATTAGTATGCCAGACATGGAAAATCTCTGACTGAGCAAAGATGATGATGATTATTATTTTATTTATTCCCCAGACACTCTGGGTGGCTACCAACAGAGGACTAAAACAGAATAAAACTTCAAACATTAAAAACTTCCCTAAACAGGGCTGCCTTCAGATGTCTTTCCTGGGACCAGTTCCAAGCAGACAGCCATTGACTAGGAGGCAATGACACCTTGCGGCCATTTAGTCCTGTTTAGGATCATTGCATCACTACAGCAAGTCCTGCACGGCCAGTTTCCTGATCAGGTGCTGATGCTGGATGGCAAAGTTTTCCTGACCCAAGAGGATACTGCGCTTTCCTACCAAGCACATAAATTATTATTATTTTCACATTGAAATAAATGCCCACTATCTGTATACAGCTTTTAAAGAGCTCTGGGTTTTGATGCAAGCACCTGAGATTTGACATAGCTTACTGGTAGTTTCCAAGTCAACTGTCTTGCTTAACTTGAGTAGGTTCAGCATGTGGGGCTACATTCAGATCTTGAGTGAAAGCCATTGCCCACCATCTTTTGGAGGCATTAGAGTAGCCTTTTCTCTCTGAATGTCTTGGCCTGCAGTTGCCACCAGCCCCAACCAACCCAGGGAGAGGATGTTAGGGCTGATGAGAGTTGTGCTCTTAAAACAGCTGCAGGGCCCAGGCTGGCAAAGCTACATTGAAGCTGGGAATGCTACAGATGCCAAGAGGTCTGGAAGCAGAGGCTTGACAACCATATGTCAGGAGTGCTCTGATGGTGTTTCCTGCTTGGCAGGGGGTTGGACTCGATGGCCCTTGTGGTCTCTTCCAACTCTATGATTCTATGATTCTATGGAAGAAAGCCACCTTTACCTGGGGAGGAAAGACTCTGTTATTCCTGCATTGCAGAGGGCTAGACTGGTTGACCCTTGGGGTCCCTTCCAACTCTACTAGTCTATGATCCTATGAGATGAGCAAAGTGTTCCTGGCCTCTGCCAAGACCCCAAGGGGCAACTAGTCCAACCCCCTTCAATGCAAATGTACCTAATGCATGCCAGAGCTTTTAAGTCTCTTTCTCTGGACCTTCTGTTACAGGCATAAACTCTGGATTGGAGAGGGACTCTTTGAAGGCATCCCCACACCACTCGGATGAGTTCACCAACAACACACTGCTAAGAGAGAACATGGAGTCAAGATACCCTACCCCTGAGAGTCTCATTCTGTCAACAGAGGACATATTTGCTTTCCCAGTGAATAAGATGGGTGAGTCCCCAAAACTGACAGCTCCCCCTTACACCAACACGAGACACATCCAACCTTCCAAGAAGAAGCCATCCTCTTCCAAGCAAGGAAACACAGCCAGGAAACATCAGAAACTCAGAACCACCACAGCTGCTGCCCAGCCCAGCCTGCCAACATCGAGGGCATCCCTTTCCAGAGACCACTTGCACACTTGGGGGGACAACAATGACATGATGGCTACAGTTCACAAGGAGAAGCCCACAACGCCAGAGCATACCTCATGGGGCAGCAGGAAAGGAAGCCGTGAGGTGACCAGTCACTCCCTGTTTCAAATCTCACCATTTACAATGCAGCCGACAATCCCACAGACCTTCTCTCACGGTCCCAAAGCCACAGAGTCGCTTGTGGCTGCCTTTCCAGAGGGCGAAGCCCAGATTCCGGTCAAGAGCCCAGAGGATGAAACGAAGAGGGGGCCTTTTTCCAAGGAGGGCCGAGACACAACCACACCCACCATCATCACCCCCACTGTGATCACCACTGAGCAAACTCCAAGTAAGACATCTTACTTCTGCAATGATGTCATTATGACAGAAATGCTGGGTTTGCACACAAGAAGTCAGCAGGGAGGGAAAGCGGTGTTAGCCAAAGTCATTCCAGGGGCTGCCTGTGCCCCCTGGGGACTTCCCCTCGTTACCAAATTCATCTGCCTTCCCATACTCTGAGGCAGGGGTCGCCCACGGGGTTCCCTCCAGAGGATGCTGGACTCCAAATCCCATCAGTGAAGAAGGGTCAGAGATGATAGAACTTGGAGGCCAACAACCTCTAGTGGGCACCATGTTACCCGCTCCTCTTCTGAGAGTTGGGGTGGTCACAGCTGCTGCTTTATCACAAATTTGCAGGGCAGTGGGAGACAGCTGACTTGCCAGATGGTCAGTGCATTTGCTAAACGGCCGTTTGTCTTTGGGACAGCAGATGGGGAGGGCAAAGGCAGAAGGGTAGAGGCATGAAGAGAGGAACCATGTGCATTTGACAGAGGCCACAGAGCATCAGCAGAATAATTGCTTTGCTTGCAGAAAGCAAATGGGAGCAGCTTTGCATAGGTCTGGGAAAGACCCTCTGCCTGAGACCCTTGAGGGCCACTGCCAGTCAGCGTCAGCCAGGGATGGGGAATCTGTGGACCTCCAGATGTTGGTTTCTGTTCTGGCCTGGGCTGTAGTCTGTCCCACAACATGGAAGGGTCCCAAGCAAACCACTACCTCTTTCTCCTTCTCAGCCCTGCCATCCCAAATGGACTCCTCCCCACCACTAAACACTCCTTTACTTTTGGCATTTAACTGTCCCAACCCACTCCCAGAACTGGGTAGAGTGGTATGGCTCTTAGATGGGAGGGGAATAACAAGGCCTCCAACCCATTTTTTCCCCAAAGCACATTATGCTTTTACTTAATTTTTTAGTAAGCATTGTAAAGTTTATATGGAGGGCATTAGCCCTGACAACAATTGACAACAAACAAATGAATCTTTTAAGGGGAATTAGTGCCTGGTTGGTTATAGCCTAGACTTTAGTGGACATTTGGTTATGGATTTTATGGGGTAAGTCAGTCTATGATTAACATGGAGTTTCCTTCCAGTTCTCTGCGGCGTGAATTTTTACGAGCCGGAAGGATACATAGACTCAACCGACTACCCACCTCTGCTGTGGAACCGTTTCCTGGAATGCACCTACAATGTGACTGTCTACACTGGATATGGGGTGGAACTGCAGGTAGGCATGCAAGAGGGAGGCAGCCCAGCCCTAGCCTACATCAGGGTGTGGGTGTGAGTGTGCGAGCCCCCACCTGCCTAGGCTAACCTGGACCCAAATGTCAAAGCTGATCGGCGCTCAGTTTGAGCTGGAGCCCTCAAGTCTTGCTTTCTGTGTAAGCTCTGAACCATGCAAAGCAGCAATGCTTAAGCAGAGTGCCTCTGATCATGTGCAGAGTGCCTTTCCTTTATCACCACCATTGTTGAAATTAATTTTATTTGGAAAACTAACATGTAATATATATCTAAACAGTGTACATACGTCATAAAAAATATCCATTGTGCCTGGTTAGTAGGGGCAGTTGGAGCAGATGCACAGAAAAAATGCAGAGGGGAGGGAGGAATAGCCGAGTGGTACAGCACCTGCTTAGAGTGCAGAAGGTCCCAGATTCAATCCCCAGCATCTTCAGGTACAATTAGGGATGCAGTTCTGCCAGACTGAAACCCTGGAGAGCAGCTGCTAGTCAGTGTGGGCAATACTGAGCTACATGGAACGTAGGACGCTGCCATCTACTGAGTGTGACCCTCGGTGCATCTCGCTCTGCTCGTCCTCGTGGACTGACAGGGTCTCTCCAGGGTCAGGCAGAGAGTGTCTCCCAGCGTTCTCTGGAGATGCTGCTGCCATTGGGGATTGGACTTGTTTTATTTATTTCATTTTTATTTCGTAAAAATTATACACTGCTGGATTGCTTAAAAAAGCAGTTTACTAAAAAGATAGTAATAAAATGATTCCTAAGAAGAATTAATAACAACAATGTAAGACTTTTGAAAAATTAAAATAACAATAAACTAAAACATATTAAAACAGAGAGCTAGTGTGGTGTAGTGGTTAAGAGCGGTAGTCTCGCAATCTGGTGAACCGGGTTCGATTCCCCGCTCCTCCACATGCAGCTGCTTGGTGACCTTGGGCTAGTCACACTTCTCTGAAGTCTCTCAGCCCCACTCACCTCACAGAGTGTTTGTTGTGAGGGAGGAAGGGAAAGGAGAATGATAGCCGCTTTGAGCCTCCTTTGGGTAGTGATAAAGCGGGATATCAAAACCAAACCCTTCTTGTGTCAGCGTTCTAAACATGTGGGTAGGCTTGTCTAAACAAACATGCTCTTAGCAGGCATTGAAAGAGTGCCGTGAATGATCAGACATGTCCAAAGGAAAGTTGTTGCCACACTAAAATATTAAATCCTTACAAATGTAAAACGGGGATTATGCAGCCACTTCTGCTGTTTGAAGCATTCAAACAGGCATCGTATATGGGGTGAGGTGATCTCGCAGGTAAACTGGTCCCAAGTTCTTAAGGGCATTGTACCGTATTTTTCGCTCTATAACACGCTCCCAACCATAACAAGTACATAGTTTTTAGAGGAGGAAAACAAGAAAAAAAAATATTCTAAACGAAACAGTGGATGTATGATTTTTGTGGTTCATGCTGTGGCCACAGACATGTGATCTGACGGTGAGTTTAGGGTAGCCCAATGCAAAAATCCTGAGGATCTATGTGGATCCGTGCTTTGTAACCACGTTTTTGCACAACTGCGGCCCCAGGCAACAGTGGGTGCGTGATTTTTTTGGTGCAAGCTGTAGCCATGGACATGCTATGTGATCTGATGGTGAACTTGGGGTGACCCAGTGCAAAAAGGATCCATGTAGATCCATGCTTTGTAACCACGTGAATGAAGGAACTGTCAGTAATGTATGGTATCTCCAATACAGTGATGAAGGTCCTCACACTTGTCCTAGGCAAAGCAGCCAACTCCTATAGGCCTAGGTGCCTTCACCCTCCCCCCATTAAATATTTGAGGGAGTCATCCCCCACCCCCCATTATGGTATGTGAGTGGGGCTTACCTGGCTGTCCCCCCAATATTTTTTGAAGTTGGAAGAGGGAGGGAGGGAGGGAGGGAAGGAAGAGAGAGGGGGAACTCACATTTGTGCAGCTGCCTTGCCTCGAACCGGAGCAAAAAGAGGAGGAGGAGGAGACTCAGGGACACGAGCCTTGTAAGCCGCTTTGTTTGAATTTACCGGTGAGGTGCTGGGGGAGGGACGGAAGGGGATGCCCTCTTTGTCCCTCCTTCCAGCTCATTGTAAAGAAAGCAGAGTAAGAGCCGCTTACATTTGTGTAAGGGAGAGCCATAGAGCAGGCAGACACTGAGAAAGAGAGGCTGTCTCCCTTTCCCCACCTTGGCTTTTGCACGCTGCGTGCAGCTCTTGCCGGCTTCCGAGCTGCCTCCCTTCTCCCACCTCGCCAAAAAGCCATAGAGCAGGCAGACAGGAGGAAGAGAGGCTGTCTCCCGACATTCAGCTGTTGCTCAGCTGTTGCCAGCTTCTCAGCAAGCCAAGCAGAGGAAGAGAGGCTGCCGAACAGCCAGCAAGAGTGGCTCCTCCTGCCTGCATTCGCTCCATAACGCGCAGACACATTTCCCTTTACCTTTTGGGGGGGGGAACTGAGTGTTATGGTGCGAAAAGTACGGTATATTAATGGCAGGGACGCGGGTGGCGCTGTGGGTTAAACTACAGAGCCCAGGGCTTGCCGATCAGAAGGTCAGTGGTTCGAATCCCCGCGACGGGGTGAGCTCCTGTTGCTTGGTCCCTGCTCCTGCCAACCTAGCAGCTCGAAAGCACGTCAAAGTGCAGGTAGATAAATAGGTACCGCTCTGGCGGGAAGGTAAACGGCATTTCTGTGTGCTGCTCTGGTTCACCAGAAGCGGCTTAGTCATGCTGGCCACATGACCCGGAAACTGTCTGTGGACAAACGCCAGCTCCCTCGGCCTATAGAGCGAGATGAGGGTGCAACCCCAGAGTTGGTCACGACTGGACCTAATGCTCAGGGGTCCCTTTACCTTTATATTAAGGGCAGACTCTCCAAGTGTCCCTGTTTTCCAGGGACAGTCCCAGATTTACAGAAGCCGTCCCAGTTTCTGATTTGATCCTGGAGGCATCTGAAGGCAGCCCTGTATAGTTTTATTATGTTTTTATATATGTTAGAAGCTGCCCAGAGTGGCTGGGGCCTCTCAGTCAGATGGGATATATATATAATTACAGACTAGGACAGCCCTATTTTCATCAGACAAATGTTGGAGGACATGTAATGGTAACACCCTGAACTTGGCCTGGCAGCAGATGGGCAACCAGCACAGATCTCTGAGCACAGAGGTTCTGTGATTCCGTTACTCTACAAAGGGGGTCTGAAAATACGCCAGTCCTCTTTAGCCAAATAAAGACAGCAGAGTTCATTTTTATTGCAGGCTGCAGCAAAAATAACTGATCCAGAGGAATTCTCCAAATTCTAGATCTTGAATTCAAATTTCAAGACACTTTTATAATATTTACATGTGTGATCACCTTGTGCACAATCCTTTTCAGCAATATGATTGGATAACAGAATGCATGGACAGCTTGTGGAGCCCTAAAACAAATTTCATTGGTCAGAACAGCCTGCCCCTAATTACTATGGCTACAGGTATCTTTAAGCAAAGTTAATACAAAATATTGCTTTTCTGCTATCTGCTATATGAAGACTTGTCTGGGGGAGGAGAATCTACTGTTTCTCATCATTGAAGATTTCCCAGTATTTCTTCTCCTCAAGGTTAGCTTGCTCTTCTCTGCTTTGGAAGCTGAAAGAAAGGCCTACAATGGGTGCAATGCCAGCAAAATACAGATACCTTGTGGCTGTGGCTGTGAGAACGTGTTTATGCAGACTCAGCACTTAGCAGGCAGAGGTCAATCGTGTATCAGGAATGTACTCTGGGACAGAGGTGTGAACATTGGTGTGCATGTCGTAGGCCATGACATCCACCTGGGTCCCAGGTCATGACATCCACGTATCAATTCCACAAACTTCCAGGGTGCCCTCAGCACTGGCAGATGAGGGCATCTATGGAAGGCAGCTGGAAGGACTTCTGCAACAACCTCAGGGGTGGACTCTGTGTCAGCATTTGCTCTGGGAGAGGGACACCAGAGCTGGAGATGGAGACAGGAGCCCCAGCGAATGAGGCTGGGGTGGTGCAGTGGATTGCGCAGCCAGAGCAGAGCAACATCCGATGGAGTTTAGTGGTGAGAATTTCCCAGCGATTACAGGGGTCACCCTTATCGTATCCCTCCAGCTTAAAGGATAAAAAGAAAGGAAGGGAAGGGAAGCACTAAGCTGATCCTAGCAGAGGCGGGCAAGATAAATTTGCTTCCATGAGGTAGGCAGGTGGTCGCTGTCAGAGGGAGGCAGGGCCGTGGCTCTCTCAAAAGGGCCCCCACCTGACCCCGACCCCACATCTCTCTTGCTTTGGCAGAAGCAAACACTCAAGGCAAGAGGCATCTGCAAAATGCAAACCGGGTTTCTTTGATTTCTTTCACACCGTTGTGAGTGACAGCATCACAAAGAGTATCCCTTGGGCTGAGCTAGACCGACCACTAGGAAAGGGATGGAAAATAAAATGCCAATAAAATCATGCCATTATACAAATCTATGGTGTGATTCTGGCTGCCAATCTCAAAAGGGATTTTGCAGAGTTGGAAAAGGCTCAGAAGAGAAAGGGGGACCAAAGCGATCCAGGGTGCTCAGTGACTGCCCTATGAGGAATGCTTGCTCATTCCTTTTAGAGACTTTTAGGGGCTTCCTTTTAGGGACTTTTAGAGAAAAGGGGAGATAGAGACATGAGAGATATTTATAAAATTGTGCATGGCACAGAGAAAGTGAATAGAGAAAATATTTTCTCTCTCTCTCCTGACACCAGAACTCATGGAAAGCCAGGGAAGTGGAATGTTGGAAGATTCAGGGGGAAGGACTTCCTCACACAGCACCCAGTTAAACTATGGAACCAGTAATGGTTCCCTAGGCAGTAATGGACACCAGTCCAAATGACTTCAGAAGATGACAAAGAGGAGTACTATTATGTTGGGAGGGGGGCAGGAAAATGCAGTCTGACTTATTTACTCTGATTCTTTGTAGTAAATCAGCAGCAGGTGGTTGGGGCTAATGACCTTTGAGGTTCCATCTAAGTTTGTGACTTGTAGGATGTGAATAGTTTTGCAAGCCAGGTGGTGAAGCCAGAACTGGAGGAGGAAGTTGTGCAGGAGACCTTCCTGGTGGGTTGTGTCTGTCCCTCTTGGGTATTATTACTCAAACATTTTCAAGGCCCTGTGCTTTGCAGCCTCCTCTCCCAAATCCCCATGCTATCTGCAAATGGCCATGTTGCAAAACTATTTGAGCTGGGAAAGTATCAGCCGCACATTTTTGTAAGCCACTTCCATGCTTTAGAATAACTCTATTTCATTGGGAGATGAGTTTCCTGTCTGGAGCAGCCAATTATTGCAAGCAAAAAGGGATTTCAAGCAGGCTGGCTGACCCCTCCTCTCACTTCTCTATTACAAAAGGGAGGCTCCACCACCTCAGGGGAGTTAAAATTGCTGTACATTCTGCCTTT